TCCCTCACGCCTGCAGGAGTCCTCCTCATGGAAGGGAGCTGCCAGCTGTGCCAGGATCACATCCCAACAGCTCTGCAACCGGGGCTGAGATGGGGTTTCATTTTCCAGCTAGAGATGAAAGACCTCAGTGAAGACCTCCTATTGGCTCAGCTCAAGTCCTGGCCTCTGAACCAACCAGAGGGTGGTTCTGTGACTGGCTGCCCAGCTTGAATTACATGCCACCCACCCATGTGACCAGTGAGAGTGGTTATCAGAAAAGAGGAGTGGTGGCCCTGGCTGATTTGGACCGTGGTTAGAGTGTCGGCCCTGGGACTGAAGGCCCCTGGGTTTGCTTCTGGCCAAGGGCACTTGCAGGCTCGATCCTGGGCCCTGGTCAGGGTGCATGTGGGAGGCAACCGAACCATGTGTCTCTCTCACATTGATCTTTCTCTCTCTCCCCCCCTTCCACTCTCTCTGAAAAGCAGTGGAAAAAATACCCTTAGGTAAGGATTAAAAAGAAAAAGAAAAAGAAAAGAGGAATGATGGGTGGAGATGGCAACACAATATGGATTCTAGGGGAATCTCTGAAGCCAGTGGTCACCCCAGTTTGTGTCCTCTCTAACTGGTGACGCCAACTTTGGTTTCCTCCTTGTCAATCCACATCTACTAATAAAAACTCACCTAATGGGCTGTGAGTTTCATATTTCTTCTTAAGGGGGATCAGGTGGTCTTCTATACAGATGGAGGGGTAGGGCTGCCCTCTTCTGCAAGCCACTTCATTCTCGGAAGTACCTCAGCTTCCTTGTCAGTAAAATGGGGGTGACCGAGCCTGCCTGACTTTCCTTACAGAGCTGTGTGGAGACCCACAGAGCTAACGGATGTGAAAATTGCTCTAGAAAGAACAAAGTGCCATGTTTGCAAACACAGGATGTACTTATTGATTTATTATGCTCCTGTGTGTTCCATAAAAGGATTGAGGTAGCTCACCAAAATTCACACCATACACTGGGATAAAAATAAAGTAATAGAGCGAAGGGAAAACAAGGGTGGGGAAATAAAGCCAGGAAAAATGCTAGCACATGGAAACCTACGCCCAAAATTCCAGAAGAAGTTCAGATCTGAGCTTCCTCGTGAACAAAAAAGTGGGAGGCGTGAGCAGTTACAGAAGGCAAAAACGAAACAGCATGCGGGAAAGACCGCATAGCCTGCCTTGGCACTAATGTTTAATAAAAACCTCTTCTCGTCAAGAAGACAACATGGATATCAAGATATTATGAGCATGCCTATTCAACAATATTTAGATTCCTGTCCTTTTGTTTTCACGATGTCATCTGACATCTACTTCAGGGTCTCATGTGGATTCATCATCTATTTATGATTTGACTTAAATTGGCTAAAAACTGGATACTAATTAAATATCAAGCAAAAACACCCCTTTCATCTCTTCTGCTTTCTTGTATTTTTATGGTAAAATGAGGTTGAGTGCAAGGAGTGGTACCTGAGTTCCCCAGCAAAGTATGGGACAAAAAGTTTGAGCATCTTGACTAAGCTGAAACATAAAAATCACCAAGACATAAAACTGATCCAAGCAAGCCATAAAGACACTGCCTTTGCCTCAGAACTTGGACTATAATCTGCTGCCCTGGAACAAAATCCAGACATAAATCAGCCTGCACTATATTTTTACCCACCTACGAAATTCTTCATTTCTGCCCGAAATGTTTTTGACAGTGAATGATTCCACTCTCCCCCACTCCTGCTCTGAGAAGGTGCCCTCAGGGCGGCAGTGGGGGTCCAGATCTGGGCCCCACAGGTCAGGCAAGCCCAGGATGGGACAAGGGATGGAAGACCTGACTCAAGGGTCTTCATGACAGATGACTCAGGCTGTGGCTAGCCTGTACAGTGCTTTTGTTGAAAAAGGAGCCCCTATAGGCACAGGAGAGCATCCCACCTGGGGTGCTCTCTCCCCCACCTTCACGGAATCCAGTCTCCATTATCCTCCAGCACCCACAGCGTTGACAATACCCACAGCTTTTTCCTGAGCTCCTAATTCCTCCATAGTAAGAACCAGACAGCTGGCATTTAATTATATAATGTCTGGGATTCACTATTTCATGTTGTCAGTCTGTCTCTCTAATTAGATTGAAGATATCTTGAGGGTAATGGTTGTTCTAATTTTATATGTCTGCCTCATAGCCAACAAGGTGCCTTATGTCTGGGCACTTTACAAATAACAGGGTCATTAAAAACAGAATTTGAGGGTGTCTAAGCTCTCTAGTTCTCCCCCCCTGTGCCCATTTCACAGATGAGGAAATGGAGAGCCAAAGAGGAGGCTTGACCTGCCCAGGGTCATTCAGTGAGAACCTGGCCTACCCAGGAATAAACCCAGTTCTCCTGTTGCCAATGTAGTGCTTGCTCTATTTCCCTTAAACACTTCACTCTAAAACTCCCAAATAGAAAGTTCAGAACCACAGCTCACTAAAGAACAAAGACAGACAGACAGACAGCTGGTCCACAGTAATCCATCTGCGTGTGGGCAGAATTTCCAGCACAAAGCCAGGTCGAGCTGCAGCAGGCTCAGCAAACAGCCCCCGCGGGAATCAAAGCTGGTCATTGTGTGGACCGGGATGAAAGGACTTCTGCAGGTTACCTGGGGCCCTTTCAGCTTCCCCCCAGCACCGCAGGGGTCAGCACTATCCGTAATGTCTGGGCACATGAAACCCAGGATTGATGGTCTCGGCAGGAAGGACTAGTAGAGGCAAAGGGCATCTCCTCTCTAGGGAGAGACACTTTTATATGTTGGGGGCTGCCTTTGGCAGTGAACTAAGCACCCTTGATAGCAGGAAACAGCCCAAGTGTTTGTCCCTAACTCCTAACAACAGATACTTTACAATAGCGTCAAATCTGATAAAAACCCAACATCAAAACAATAGTCAAAATACAAACGGTGACAACTGCTAAGCGAAACCCCGTAACGAAAAACTGGCAGCGGGTGCATGGGGCCTGCTGAATCTCTCCTGATCACTCACAAGCCACAGCGCCCACCGCTTAGTAATTGTCACAAGGGCCCTACAAGCCTCGCCCACCAGCTGGTACTCCAGACATGGGAACCGAGGCCCAGCTCACCTAAGCACCTCGCCCCCAAACCACTGCTACTAAGTGGCAGCGCTGGGATTGGAATCCAGGTCCATCTCATTCCCAAGCCCCCCTTTCACACTCTGGGACTCTCGCTCCAGCCCCACTGTAAGGAGTAGCCCCATTATGAGAACCAGGGGACAGGTGAGGTTTGGAAAATTGGAGGGGGAAGGACAGCTCGTCCATTATTTCAGGGGGGTGGGGGAGAAAGACGAGGCACCGACATGGAGCTCGCCCAGATCTCCCTGGCTTTTTCGGGGTGCCAAACGAACGCGGAAGGAGCCACTTCTAAAAGAACACAGTGTTTTTCTTCCTCTTCTCACCTCCCCTGGGCCCGGGCCTGTGATAATTGGGAAGCGCAGAGTCTGTTTTTTTTCTGGGACTGGAACCAACGCTGCAAAGACTGTTCCGACAAGAGATGCTGCTGACTGACAGCCGATGCCCCCCGTTCTGGAGGGAGTTTCTCCCGCGCTGGGCCTGAGGCTGCCGCCTGCTCAGACGGCATTTACTGTGCTTTTCCTCGGGGGCCTCTGCCAGCGGCCAGGCGAGATGGCATCTGGGTCCCCCCGGCTCCCTCATCCCACGACTCCATCAAGATGAGAACCAAACCTGGAAACATCTACGGAGAGAGGACTGGTCCGAAAATCAGGAGCTCTGATTCCGGTCCCATATTCTTCGACCCCATTCATTCCACTTGCACAAATTTATCTTTAAAAACTCAGAAGGGCCTGGCCGGGCGTGGCTCGGCGGTTGAGCATCGACCTAGGATCCAGGCGATCGGGGTTCGATTCCCGGTCAGGGCACATGCCCGGGTTGTGGGCTCGATCAATGACTCTCATCATTGATGTTTCTCTCTCTCTCTCTCCCTCTCCTTTCCTCTCTCTTAAATCAATAAAGATATATTTTAAAAAAATAAAAATTAAAAATAAAATAATAAAAACTCAGAAGGACAGAGCTATAGATGCAAAGATGTTGGCTTTAGCATTATTTGGAGGTGGCTTGGTGGCAGGTGCTGCCTCGCAAACGGTGGTTGCGAAGGCTCAGGGAACCGTGGTGACAGCGTCTTACAAACTGCACTTCAATGTCCATCAAGGGGTCATGAAATAAACGGAGAGGCCTCCTGCCACCGACTTTTTTATTTTAATAAAATAGGCTGGAACAGAGACGCTCGGAGTGCGTCTCAGGTGGGAAAGGTGTTTATCAGGAAACATGGGTGCCCGGTGCCCGGTGCCCGGTGCCCGGGTGACGCGACCCACCTGCGGCACCCGGGCCCGCGGGGCGCTGCGGGGAGCAGGAAGCCCGGAGGGAAACACGCGGGAACAAAGGCACGAACTTGGCGTTAACAGTGCTAGAATAAAGGATGCTTTTAGGTTTTCTGGGTTGTTTGTGGGTAAAATAACACAGGACAAAAAGGAGGAATGACAACGAAAGGTCATTATCAGATGCCGACAGGCCAAGGGGCCTGAGGCAGGGCTTCCTGCAGCAGCGGGGCTTTGAAGGTCGGGCAGGATTTAAATGGAGGGGGTGCGGGCGCAGGCTGGCTTCCAAGTGTGCAGGGCGGTCACTACAGGGATGAAGGGAACGAAGAAGAAGGGGTGGAAAAAAGTCTCTCGGTGCCGCAAAGTGGCTTTGAATCAGTAAGGAAAGGGGCAGCTCTACTCCTGGGCGGGAGGTTATTCCTCCCGGGCCCTGCAGGGATCTGTCCTCTGTGCAGCCCCAGGCTGAGGCAGCAAACTACAAGTTGCCCCTCATAAACATGGCCGCGCCACGCGGGCCACGCCCCTCAGTAAGATGGCGACCACCAGTAGCCCCACCCCTACCGCCTCGGTAGCCAATGAGGGAGAAGCACGCGTGCTTGCGCATGCGTGGTGCCCCCAAGGGGGCGCGTCCAATAATGGCTTGGGGATCCCGGCGAGTAACATGACTAAAAAGAAGCGGGAGAATCTGGGCGTCGCTCTGGAGGTGAGGGGAGAAGTGGGGTGGGCCGCACCGCTGGTTGCCCACTCCCCGCGGCGGGGTAGTGGGTCGGCCCGCGCAGGTTGGAGGAGGGGCTTGAGGGAGGCAATTAAGGGCGACGCGGGTTTGGGAGACAGACCCGAGGGTCGCAAGAGGGCCCCTGTGGGTCCCTGGAGTTGAGGGACAGGATGGGGAAACCGAATGCTGGAGAGCTGGAGGGAAGGGGACCTCCAGAGTGGGAGAGACAGGGAGGTGAACGGGAGCCCCAGAGAGGGCGGGACAGGAAATAAGGAGGCCCTGGAGGAGACGTTTAATCACCCAAAAGGGGCTGGTAGTCGGAGGTGAGGGGGACCCTAGAGGTGTCGGGACGTGTAGAGCAGGGACTCTTATAGGTTAGGAGCCTATACTGTTTATTGTATTTGTAGTGGCTTAACTTTACTATGAGATGGGAAATTTTTCCTCTAGGGTACTGAAGCTTGTAGCTTGAAAATTACTTTGGGAACTTGCGGGAATTTGTAGAGAATTGTGGAATGGTGATGTTCCCAAATCGCTTAAAAATAATTTGCTGCGCCCTGGTGGGTCCGCTCAGTTAACTGGAATGTCCTACCTAAACCAAAAGGTTGTGTTTGGTTCCCAGTCAGGGCACATATGGGAGGCAGTCGATGGATGTTCTCTCTCTCTCCCTCCCTCCCCCTTCCTCTCTCTAAAATCAATAAAAAGTCCTCAGGTGAGGATTAAAAAGTAGTAAGAATAATTTGGTGCATACGGAAGGGAAAGAATTAATGCATACTGAGCAACGGCTATATGCTACTTTGTCTGCATTCTCAGTTAATCCTCACTACAAACCTGTGAGATTTTTACAGATGAAGAAACTGAGGTGTCGAGTAGAGCCAAGGTTCAAGCAGTGGAGAATCAAGCCGGTGATTTGTCTTCTAGTGCATCTTGTTTCCAATGTGTTACAGTTCCCTTAGATCACCTCCCAGAGGTTCCATCCCTGGTCAGGCGCATAGGGAGGCAACCAATCAATGTTTCTGTCCCACATTGATCTCTCTCTCTCTCTCTCTCTCTTTCTCTCTCTCACACACAATGAAGAAAATATATCCTTCTATGAGGATTAAAAAAAGAAAGAAAGAGGGTAATAGACTTCTTGAGCTTACTATCAGTTCAGTGCTTCTCAAACTTAAGGCTGCATTAAGAATCATTTGTAGAGCTTTTTACAGTGGAGAGTTGAATTCTCCCCCACCTGGAGTAATTCATTACGACTTGGGTGTGTTGTATTTTTGGTGGGGTGGGAAGTGGTATTTTTAACAAATAATTTCAGGGGTTTTTAATGGATTGAGAGAGAGAGAAACATTGATTTGTTGTTCCACTTATTTATGCAATCATTGGTTGATTCTTGTATGTGCCCTGACTGGGGGAACCCACAATCTTGGTGTATCAGGATGACACTTTTAACTAAATGAGCTACCCAGCCAGGGCCAAATAATTTGTTTTTAACAAGCTACACACACCATGCTGAAGCAGGAGGTTTTAGTGCCACCCCTTGAGAAATAACAGCCTACTTGGTAGGAAAAAAAGGTTGATGAAAATATGAATCTCCTCTGAAAGAGAATAATAGATGGTAAAATGAGAAGCACTATGTAGTGGGAAGAGTTTGGACTTTATAGTCTGTATTAGGATATGATAAGCTGCTATAAAAGAAACTTAAAAGTCAGTGGTTTCAAGAACAAGAAAAGTTTTTTTTCTAACATGCTAGAGCAGGGATGGGCAGACATTGTCTCTAAGGTTCAGATAGTAAATATTTGAGACTTTGTGGGCGATACAGTCTCTGTTGCAACTACAGTCGATCCTCATTATTCATGGAGTCTGTCTTTGTGAATTTGCCTACTTGTTAAAATGTATTATTTGTAACCCCAAAATTAATACTTGCAGTTATTCATGGGCAAACTCAAAGCAGTAAAAATTTGAGCTCTGACCAGTGTGGCTCAGTGGTTATAGTGTCGCACCGAGGGGTTGAAGGTTCAATTCCTGGTCAAGGGCATGTACCTGGGTTGCAGGTTTGATTCCCTCCTGGGCAGGTGCAGGAGGCAACCAATCGATATGTCTTTCTCACATCGATGTTTCTCTCCCTCCCTCCTTTCCACTTTCTCTAAAAAAAAAAAAAATCAATGGAAAAAGTATTCTTAGGTGAGAATTAACCAAAAAAAAAAATTAAAAAAATTGAATCACGTGAGGGCCATGTATCCCCCTAAGGCTGAAGAGGGCAGTGTTCTGCCTTCTTATTTCAATTTTTATATGATAAACAAGTGTCCTTTTTGTGGTCTATTTAGTGCCACATTTTTTGTAATTTTGTGCTTTTTGTTGGTCACTTTGTGGTTTAAAATGGCCTTCAAGTGTAGTGCTGAAGGGCTATCTAGTTTTCCAGAGTGCAAGGAGTCTTCATGTGCCTTACAGAGAAAGTGTGTGTGTTACTTTGTTCAGGTCTGAGTTATAGTGCTGTTGGCTGTGAGTTCAATGTTAATGAATCAAGAGTATATGTTACATTAGGTCTTTTGAAACAGAAACACACACAAAACAAGGTTTTGTATTGATCAGTTGATAATGTTGTGACCAGAGGCTCACAGGAACCTAACCTGGTTCAGTATTTGCTAACCATTTTCGGTGGCAGCTTTATAGAACATAACTACCACAAATAACATGAATCAACTATATTCAGGCTGTCTTAGCACAAAAGCAGCCAGAGATAGTATGTAAATTAATGGGTGTGGATATGTTGCAATAAAACTTTATTTACAAAACAGGTGGTGGGCCATATTTGGCCCATCAGCTATAGTTTGCCAAGCCCTGGTCTAGAGTACTAGGACAGTAGTGGTTCTGCTGTATTCCTTCCATCTTGTGGCTCTGCCTTCTTCTAGGACCTTGTTGTCACCTCATGAATGAAACCAGGCCGCACCCCATTGATGTGTCCACTGGCAGGGAAAGAAAGAGTAAAAGAAGCACACCCACTGTCTTAAGAGTACTGGGCCTAAAGTGCCCACTTTCCATTGGCCAAGATACAAGCTAAGAAGCGAGGCCTCACCTAACTGCAGGGGGAGACTGGGAAATACATTCATTAACTAGGAGGCCACATGCCCAACTACAGCTTGATTGCTGTGGAAGAAGGGGCTAGTGTGTTTTCGTGGACATCCCACAGTCTACAGATTGCAACTTAACTCACAGTGTGGTTTTGAGGATTAAATGAGAAAATCTATTTAAAGTGTCTAACACTTACCTGATGGTGGTGTGATCAACAAACAGTGCTCTTTATTAGCAGCCTTTGTGGTTCTTTTGCATCTTTTTATCATGGCTACGTCAACTCCCTTGTTTGGACTTTAGTTTCCTAATCTGTAACTTCACTAGGGGTTACAGACTCACTGTGGTCCAAATACAGATGACAGATGCCTGTTGTTTGGCTGCCGTGGTTTTAAAAGTGTTTTGAATTTGGTGGGGCATATGCTCTAATACCACCTTATACCAGTCACATTTGCCAATACTTTTTTTTTTTTACATATCAATACCAATATAGATATTTACATTTGCCATCGTTATCTCTAGGGTTACTTTTTGCTTGGATATTATAAGAGTTGAGAACTGTAACTGCACCTTAGAAAAAGTTTGGCATCTGGCTGTCTCTTCACCTTGTTCCTCCTTTGTCCTCAATGGGTCTGAGTATTGAATGTTCACTGATGCTCAGTAGCAGTAGATACTGTCCTCATTAAAAGGCGTGTGCTTAGAGCCAATGAAGTGGTGATTTAATCAAAAATGTTTGTTAATCTGACGAGAGCAATAAAACCCCCGCAAGTGAGTGATCTCAGCACCTGCAAAGAGTCTCCACTTGTTGTAATGAAGCAATTACAGAGCAGGCGGCACTCACCCCAAGGGCTAGCTGGGCCAGCTGTACCAGGCAGTCACCTCCCAGGACAACCAAGGCACCTCCTGTCCTCCCCCCACTCATGGCTCCTCTCAAGACCTTTTTATCCAACTCATTTGACATCTTGTGAGATTTCAGAGTTGGAAAAAACTGGCTATGAGTTTTAGCTTCTGAGAGTTAATTCTGAATTGCAAGAAAGAATTACAATTCAGACAAGAAATCACCATCTCTGGTACTGATTTTAATATTGTGTGGGAGGAGGGGGAAGTTGTATTTCAGTCTAAACTGATAGGCAGATTCTGGCTGAGAGAAAGGTTGCATTTCAGTCTAAAGTGATAGGATTTTGGCTGATGTAAAACCTGTTTATGTTTTTAAGTCTCTGATAGTAATGAGCTGTTATTTGGTCATTGTGCTTTTCTTTTGAAGCTGGACCATTCAACTTGATGTCTGTAGATGTTTCAACAGCCAGCTGTCTTAACAGATGTGCAATATCTTAGCTGACATCTTAAAGGAAGTACTTGGTTGGATCTGTTCCCTAGTACAAAATCTATCAGTTTGGAAAGCTTTTTGCTACAGGTTACGGAAAACTGACCTCAGTTTTGTTTTGTAAACAAATAGGAGTATACTTTTTCCCCCGGTCGCAGGAAATTTGGAGGTTGGTAGCATTGGTTCAAAAGCTCAGCTAGGTCAGGGCTGGTATTTCTGCATTCTCTTAGCTGTTTCCTCATAGTCACAAGATAGCTGCCCAAGTTCCAGTCATCATATCCAACTTTAAATGAGGAAGAAGGAGAAAGGAACTATAACACTCTTTGTCCCTTTTATAAGCAAAGCATAAGCCCTGCCAGGAATCTCCTAGACTTCTGGAACATCTTATTGGCCAGAACTGGGTCATGATCACTGCTAGCTGCAATGAGGCTGGTAAAGCATCTGTTGAGCTTTTCTAATTTCTGTAGTGGACTTGGGCAAAGGAGAGATTGGTAGCCAATGCTGTGTTGGCCAACTAATAGTATCTGCAATAGGGAATAAAAGTTAATGGGAGTCGTTTAAAATTTACTGGAATCCATATCAGAAAAAGAGGCCCAGATCAGTGACGATT